CCTCTTCCGTCTCACCTAATTATGATGTGGGTATTTTTTCCACATCTCTGAAAGAGTTCACTTTTACAGCCATCGCAACTGCATAAGGTAATATGAGCCCGCGGGACACACTAAACATTTTCAGCTGTAGAAAATTGTTAATTTTGCCCTACTCTTGTCGATTTTAGGCCACCAAGGGATCTTTAACGTGCGCAACATGCACACAGGATCTGCGGGATTTTTCGTCTTTGTCCGTGAATCAGGGTGTAGATCTTTCCTACCAAAAGATCATGGGTTTTGCAGAAAGACAGCACTAAGAAGGAGCCAAGGAGTAGCAATAGAAAGGCTGCAGAAACAGTCAGGAGCCCAGAGAAGGGGGCAAAGAAGGTGAGGGGGTTCGGGCAAAAAGTGGGAACGAAAACAGACTACAGAATATTGCAAGAGAGAAGGAAAGAAGGTGGAAGGAAACAATTTTAGAGAAGAACATTTTCCGGTCGGTACCCGATTCGAACCCGGGACCTTTGAATGAGAGGCGAAAACCTTAACCTTAAGGCCACGAGCTCCCAGAATGCATCTGATATTAGTGCATTTATAGAGGAAGAGTTAATATTCGACACTTGTAAGGTAGCCTGTAACAGGGGGAAGGGGGGGGGGGGCAGGCTTAATTTACCATTGGGATGTGATGATTACTCTTCTGGATGTTTACGGTCGTTTTCGTACTATTTTCTTTTCTTTCACCTAGGTTTCCTTGTTTGTTTGTTAGTTTGACAGGTTGTTTTTTTTGTCTGCCTGTCTGTCCTTTCGCCTGTATTCCAGTAGGCGTAACTGTCTGTTTACCTGCCTGTCTGTATAATCGTGTGTCTGTCGTTCTGTCTGTCTGTCTGTCTGTTTGTCTGTCTGTCTGTCTGTCTGTCTGTCTGTCTGTAGGTCTGTCTGTCTGTCTGTCTAAACCCACGACCCCTATCTCTGACCATCTTTGGTCATGGGACGAATTTTTTTAGCCAGAATACTATTTTTGTTTTATCTGTCGATTTTTAAAACGATAATTGTCACTTTTTGGCCTTTTGAGAACAACACAGATGAAAGGTTTGAAGGTCCACGGGGTTTTTTTTCTCCTATATTATAGCTGTGCTCGTCCCCGAAGCGGAAAGTCCGGGTTCGAGCCTCCGTTTGGACACGGATATTTTTTTCCGTCCCCACCTGCCCACAAAGCAGTAATGGGTACATGGCTTTGAGTTGGGGAAGTAAAGGTGGCGTGGAAAGGAACTGGCCACCCTACCACAATGTGTCGAAGGCATCGGATCGGATGCGGGAACAACTTTACTTTTGTGTCTCGACACAGTGGAATCAGGTGCTCGTCAATGTTTCGGCATGTGGAGTTATTTGTCTCATCTGAAAGCTGATTTATTTGCCTTGCTTTCAGTGAAATAAGCTTTCATTTAACTAGAATAGAACTCAAGATATTTGTGATTGAAGGAGCTGAGGTCGTCATTTTTCATTGTTGGATTTAGCGGGGAAATGGCCGCTAAAGTTTGAAATCATCAATAGCTAAAGAGTCTTTGAAAACGGAAAAAAGACACATCTTGTGCCTTAAATCAACGTTTTTCAGTAAAATTCATATTACAATGTGTTTCTATATGGAAGTACAAGAGGTTAAACCAAAAAATAAAAATGTGATAACAATTTCTGGTGGAAAAATATCTGTTTTTCTGATTTCGTTATTTTGACAAGCGCCTGATTTCACCACGCTGCCTCACCTATTATAGTATAGTCTGTTTTCCAATCCTGGTATACTGCGACTCATAAGATTACAAGGTTTCGGCCCTAGAAGTTAGATTTAGCCGGGCCAGGAAATATGCGTAAACACTTTCTAACCCACGTGACAACTCAACTTATCCCAAACTGTTACCTTTTGTTTTGTTTGTTTGTTGGCTTTTTTCCCCCTCGTGCCCTTCTTTCGCTCGTAGTTGAACAGCCCTGGACTAATCGATGCCTCAGAATTTTAAGGTTCTTTTTGACAATTTTGTCCGTTTTGAGTCACTAAGACCATGACGTCGGAAACCAAATGTTACATCTTTTTTTTATATAGTAGAGGGTTTTACGGCGCTCGCAACTGCCAAAATTGTAAGATTATCCGGAGTCGTTTTCATGATATGCAAGGAAGTGCATTCGAAAAAGTTTTACATTTGAAACTCAAAAGTTTTTATGTCAAATTTCTCCAAACTGGGTACTGAGAAGATAGAACTTGGTAATTCTAGGGTAGTGAGTTGTTGAACCAGGCGTGTGTGTCTTTGTCTGTGTGTTTGCATGTGTGTGTGTGTGTGTGTTTGTGTGTTTGTATGTGTGTGTGTTTGTGTGTGTGTTTGTGTGTGTGTTTGTGTTTGTGTTTGTGTTCTGTGTGTGCATATGTGTGTCTTTTTATGTCTATGTTTGTCTATATGTGTGTCTCTGTGTATGTGTGTGTGTCTTTGTGTATAAGTGTATTGTGTGTGTATGTGTGTGTGTGTGTGTGTGTGTATATGTGTGTGTGTGTGTGTGTGTGTGTGTGTGTGTGTGTGTGTCACCCGCCTGTGTTCACGCCATAGAATTCTACACTTATAGAACGGGAACTGTACCACGTGACCTGTGAGGAATTGAAGACCAAAAACAATGGCGTCTTGAGGGGCACGATTTATCGTTTTCGGAAGTAACCCTATAGCTTTTAAAGCAAGAGCGGCTTTTACAAACGAGTGAAAAGTGGAACATTTACTGTCCAGTTTGTAATTTTGAGTTACAGAATTCACTGTGCAACTAGAGA